GCCGCTGCCTGCAGCCCACAATTATGATAATAGCCCCCGAGTCCTGAGTCTTGTTAGCCCAACGTGCAGCCAGCTTCTTTTATCTATGTTTTTTTATTTTCAGACCCACCCTTCCATGCCCCCCTAGCCTACCGCAATTTCTACTTTCACTCCTTTGCACTGTGGCGAGGTCAAACTCATCGAATTTTGCCGAGGAAACTTATTGTGTATACGTTCACATGATTAATTTTATGTGATTAAGATTTATTTTTGTGTTAGGAGCTTCGGTTGTAGGTATACAGGTTGTAGGTTTTTTGGAAGATAAGGGAGGGTTTGGAGAATTTTTGGGAAATTGCTAGTTCTATAGTGATACGTTGGGTTCTCTGGTTTTTTAGGTCTCTAGTTCCCAGTGTCTCTAGTTTCCAGCGTCCCTAGTTCCCAGCGTTCATAGTTCCCAGCGTCCCTAATTCCCAGCGTCCCTAGTTCCAAGCGTCCCTAGTTCCAAGCGTCCCTAATTCCAAACGTCTCTAGTTCTCAGCATCCCTAGTTCCCATCGCTCCTAGTTCCCAGCGCTCCTAGTTCCTAGCATCCCTAGTTCTCAGCGCCCCTAGTTCCCAGCGTCCCTAGTTCCCTGCGTCACTAGTTCTCCACGTCGTAGTTATCTACGCTTTCAATTCCATACGTCCCGAATTCCCTACGTCCCCAATTCCTTACACCCCTAGTTCTCTACGCTTCCAATTCCATACGTCCCCAATTCCCTACGTCCCTAGTTCCCTACGTCCCCAAATACCTACGCCCTTAGTTCCCTGCGTCCCTAGGTCTCCACGTCCCTAGTTCCCTACGCTGCTAATTCTCTACGCTCCTAGTTCCCTATGCCCCTTAGTTCCTTACGCCCCTAGTTCCCTGAATTCCTAATTTCCAACGTTCTTAATTCTTTAAGCCCCCAGTTCCCTACGCTCCATATCCCTAGATGCTAAAGTCCTTATATCCCAAATTATCAAATTTCTGAATCCCAAATCCCCACATCCTCATATCCCTATATCTCTACATCCCTAGATCTCCATCTACTCCTATATACATATATCCCTAGATCTCCCTATCTTTTCCACTTCAACTTGAAAACTAATTTAGTCAAAAATCTAAATATCCACGATACAATCAATCCGACAGAATTTTTCATATATATAAACAAAAAAGAATATCTAGTTTTTAATCCTAATAAAAAATAAATAATTTCGATCGACCTATAGAACGACTGTAAGTTGAAGAATAGAACACGGGATCGTTCACCTCATCTACCTCGTATAAAAAATATTGCGTGAATTTTCTTTTTTATGCTTATGCATTTTTCAGCGAAGCCATTGAGGCGTATACGCGACGAAGAGAACGTGACCCGAAACAATAGGCACATAAAGTGTGATTAATATGTACAAACGTTCGCGGTGTATTAATTAAAATTAAACGTGTTCCCTTGAACTGTACGATCTAAAGTTGCTGCGGAAGGCTTTTGCATTTTCGATTGAATGCGGCTAGGAAAAGGGCACAAGGAATAAGAATACAAACGGCAAAAGAGAGTCGACGCCGGGCGTGAGCACAAGGAGCCGGCACACACGCGCATGCGCGTTTATGCACACACGCCACCGACGTGTACGTACGTCGGGCGTTTGTAAACGTTGTAAAAGGCGGTAGCAAACGGAGCACGCTTTAATCCACTTTTCAGCACACCGTCGGGGCCTTTTGACTGTGCGGAAAGCGTTAATTGGAGACCGCGTCACGATCAGGCAAAGGAAGCCTTTCAAAGCGGAAACCTTCGTGTGATACCGCCTGCAGCTTTTTTTCAGGATAACCAGAGAAACGATGTTTCCTCCTTTCCTACGTCTGTCGCGTTGATCCGAACGTTTCATCAATGTTAGTTTTCTCAATGTCCCACCAAAGCGACAGAAAGCTCTGTTTTCATCCTTCGCCATTATATCATCCCCCTAATGACGTATTATCACGCAGGCCATCGTGCATATATCATACCTCGGCCAATGAGATACAAAGTCGAGTTAAATGGTAATTAAAACGTTTGCTGAATGCTATTGCCGGGGAAGTGTTGATTTATATTGCAATCTGCCTTGCGTGAAAAAGGCGTTCTTTAACTTTATTATCAACTATGGAATTATTTGATAAAATTTACAGATAATCTTTTTGCGGGAAGATTTGTATTCTTTAACTAATAATTTGATCTTTTGATGACTTCAGTTTACCAGACGTAGTATAATGTTTGAAAGAAAATTTTGAAGATTCTGCTTGTTTAAATTGTTCGGTAACTGGTAGGGTAAATTTAGATAAAACGAGAATCTGGCTGGCATCATCGTGATATACGACTGTTTTTCCAGATTATGGCCGACAAAGGAGATTGTCTTGATTTAAGCGAAGCACCCGGTATTTGCTCGAGATTAGATGGAGCCTACGGCATCTTTGTATATTGCAGAAGATACCAGTTCTTTCAAACACGATCTCCAATCACTTCATTTATATTTAAATAAATTTTATAATCGAAGGTTGAGTAATTCTGTTGGTCTCGTTATATTGCCATCGATGATGCTGGAGGAAGAAAAAATATTTGACAAACATATCGAGTGATTCAGAAAGTTTTTCTCTTTTAATATTGCAACAATATTATCAAAAAATATTATACAATATAACAATAGACACTTCACAAATATATATGAAGTCACTTCATAGTTATTCCTTAAACATCCCTATCAAACTGGCAATATAACGAGAGTCTACTACACCATACAGTCAATCGAAATATGTCTGTCACTCCTGATGCATAAAAGTTTAATTATCACGTTCTACTTATACTCCACTTAATAAAACTGGTTTTATTATTAAAAAAAAACTCTGGAAACACGAAAATCGGGCGTAACTAGGTTAATTAAATTCGACGTCACAATTATGATAAAGTTGAACTTTCTTCTTCCTCCAATTACGATATTTATCATCCGTAATTCAAGTCTGATTGAAAAGTTATTCCCCGATAATTTATTTACTTGTTGAATACAGTTATGAGATGCGTATCGGTAAACGCCTATAAATCGTGTTTCGATATCGGAGTTGGACAGGTATCGACCTTTCAACAGCGTCGATAAAATATAAAATAATGGTCAACTTAACCACATAATCGTTGAAATTAAGTTAATGGGTTTACGATGAGAATACCGAGAAGAAAAAGAACGACGAACGAATTTGCGTGTTTTATAGGCAGCTGCCAATAGTAAGTGATTGCTCTTATACGGAACACGTTCGAGAATGCCCCTCGCGATGTTCGTTGTACACGAAAGTAATCACCATCCCTTTTTCTCATCATTTTCAGTTCTGTTATGTGCATTTCATCCCAGAAGCGCCTTCAATCAGTCTCAAACTTGCTAAACAACTTTACCTTCAATACTTTTTATCTCCTTCGTTTATCTCTTCTTCTGATTTCACTTTTGCCATACAAATATTTGTACTCTTTTATTTCTCAATATCGTTATCATTCCAAATTGCAAATATTGACAATTCTGAGTCACAAGATTTTCAAAATTCCTAGATTCCCAATTCCCTAGATTGCAAATTCCTCAAATTTCAAATTCTCTAGATTGCAAATTCCCTAGATTCCAAACTCCCCAGATTCCAAACTCCCTAGATTCCAAACTCCCCAGATTCCAAATTCTCTAGATTCCAAACTCCTTAGATTCCAAACTCCCTAAATTTCAAATTCCCTTGATTCCATACTCTCTAGATTCCAAACTCCCTAGATTCCATACTTTCTAGATTTCAAACTCTCTAGATTCCAAACTCCTAGATTCCAAACTCCCTAGATTCCAAACCCCCTAGATTCCAAACTCCTTAGATTCCAAACTCCCTAAATTTCAAATTCCCTAGATTCCATACTCTCTAGATTCCAAACTCCCTAGATTCCATACTCTCTAGATTCCAAACTCGCTAGATTCCAAATTCTCCAGATTCCCAATTCCATAAATTCCCAATTCCCTAGAATTCCCAGTTCCCTAGATTCCCAGTTCCCTAGATTCCCAGTTCCCAGTTCCGTAGATTCCCAGTTCCCAGTTCCATAGATTCCCAGTTCCCTAGATTCCCAGTTCCCTAGATCCCCAATTCCCTAAGTTCAAAAATTCTCTAGACTCCCAATTCTTTAGATTCCCATTTACCTAAATCCCCAATACCCCATACTTCTAATTCCCCAAACTCCCAAACCAAATATTTAAATTCTTCAACTTTCCAAAATTTCCTAAATTTTCTAAAATCCCCAAATTCTCAAGTACAAGATTCTGCCATGAAAGATGAGGTATCAGAATTACGAACGCCTAGATAGGCAAGGCGTTAATTACCCATTTCGTTTATGGACTCATAATCTCCCAGAAGTAGCTACATCAATCGTGATTCGATTTAATATTACGTTAATAGCTTTTTACTCCCTTGGTAAATAATTCGATAATAGATTTTTTATTTTTACCTTATTCATGGATCAACTCTCGTACTCCAATTTTATCAGACTTTAATATTCTCTCACAAAAATAAAGTATACGATTCAATTTTATTAGACTACTCTTTCATAAAGTTAAAGATGCTGACATAAAAGTTTATGTATCAAAATTACGAACAGTTACACTGATGAATTTTGTTTACGCGTTTATAATCCTCAACCAGTAGGTATATGAATGGTGGTGGTTCGCTTTAGTGTTGCATCGGTGCATTTCCATTCCATCGGTAGATAATTCCAATAGATTTTTTGTTATTTTTATCTAGTTCATGGATCAGCTCTCGTACTCCAATTTTAATTCTCCCCTTAGTTTGCCGCTCCATCGGAAGACCGAGGCCATCCGATCAGCACGACGACGCCTGAAACGAGTGATTCTCGTAGGTGGACTTCGGCCGAGCTCGGGCACGCTCGGCCAGTTTCGGCTCGCCAAGCCTGCGTCGACCCCAGTCAACCCATGGCGGTCAGAGCACATAACTGGTTGTGACTTTCACGAGGCAAGTACCTCGCGCGCTCTCGTGTGTGCATTTTCGTTCGATCTTCCGTCTTTTGTTTAACGTTTTCGTGAAACGAGCTGTCACGCCAATTCACAGACTTTTCAGACACTTTTCGTCGCTATTACTCGGCCGTAGCTTGGTGTACCGTTAAAAAGAATCCGAAGAGTATTTCGCACGGTGAACTGTCAAAACTCAATTCGACTCGAACAGACCGTACATTATTGTCGTGATCGTAGCACGTTTTAATCAGCTCGTAAATATCGTGATAGAACGACGCGATGTCACGTGCGTTCGTACTCGTAAAACAACGATATACGGTAACCGCGGACCATGAATCGAGTTAGAAGACTTTAACGTTGTTCGTACCGTAACGTTGCGCGTGTTTCGGAGTAACCTAGTATATACGACCGGTTAAACACGTGGTGGACACGATGCTACTTAAATTGGCAGTGTTGCTGTTCGTCTTCGTCCAGCCAGGTGCAAGTTACTTCAACCTATTCCTTAGCCAAGCAGAAGTGCGGAAATTAATGGGTAAGTACGCTATATTTTCGGGGCTTCCGTTTTAAGATTACTCGCATTATATTGCATTTGTACGGTAATGCAATTATTCTGTGCAATTTGTTGCACAGGTGATGGGAGCCTATTATGCATTATTATTTACCTTCTGTTATGGAAAACAGAGTGATATATGATAGCTTGAAAATTTTAACTTTTATTTTATGCTGGATTTGAGAAATTTTTGAAACTCAGTTTTGTACAAGTTTGAGTTTGGTACAAGAATAGGTATGCTGCACCTGCGCAGGTTTTTCATTGTTATGGTATAAGTGAAAGTTTTATACAAAAGGAATTGACTACTGAATTCAGTTTTTTCTTGTATCGACATGTGGACGCGGGAGTCTTGTTAACTGATCGCAAGAATGTATGCGATAAGAGACCGTCGCTGAGGCTTTATCTGTCAGCATAAATTCGTGTTTATTTTATGTAAACGATAATGTTAATATTTATGTTAGAACATTGTAAGATTGTTTGTAAATAAATATTTGTGATTGTACGCGTGGATAGGGGAGGTTCACCGTAACTGTATCATAGTGCCAAGTTTCTTAGTCTCACCTTCTTATTTGTGCTATATATTGTAAGACATTTTGTATATTGAAATTAGTAGTGAAATTATTATTTGATTATTCTATGATACTACTGTTTTACTATAGTATTACTTCACTGAACTACTTTTTTACCTTTACTATAACACTAGTTCTATTATAGTATATACTATTTTTAGATTTCACTATGCTATTATGACAGTAGTTCTTATATGTAACTGTTTCATTCTTTTACTGTTTTATTTTTTACTGATTTATTACATTCTTCTTTCACTATTTCACTACTGTACTATTTCACTATATCACTGTTCTAGTCCTTACATTATTCTTCTCCTATTCCAGTATTATACCTCTATTACTATTTTAGTAATTCTTTACTATTTTACCATATTCCTATTAGTTCACCTATATTATTTCTATTACTACACTATTATCCCTTGTTCTATATTACTATTCTGTTAACTTTACTATATTACCACAATTCTGGTATTATTATATTTGATCATTTTATTAATTTTACTCTTTTACTGTCTCACTACTTCACTCTACTACCATATCATTATTCCTTCTCTTCCAGAATTTTGTTCTTACTCTTATGCTACTCTATAATCAAACACAAATTTTATCAAACAGTCGCCATTTTTAATAACCTTTTAACAGTACAAAATTTTAATACTTCACCACAAAATAATGTATCATAAAGTACATGATAATGTATCATAAACTACATGATAATAAAGTATCATATACTTGTACGTTTAAATTATATCATTCATATGGCCTGAATATACTTATCAGAAAATACACTGGATGATACTAAAACTTGTTAATAACACTTTGATATAAACATATCATTTTTATGTATTCAATCATGTTTGGATTTAAACTGTCTTCAAATTAAACAATCCTAAAATTGAGTCAATTCAGAGATACACATAATTAGAATGTTTTAAGTACGTCCTCCGACGCTCACAGGTCACTGAAAATTCTGCAAAGCGTCATATAACATCCACAGATCCCATTTCATTCAAGTTTAATGTACCTCGTACCATTATCCCAAAGACCGATTATTAACGAACCAAAATTTCGCCGCATCGTCGAAAAATGGCGGCGATAATCAAGATCGATAGTATTATTTCGCCGCTGCGATTCGAGGGCTCTCCGCAACAAAAGGCACCGAAGCTAGCTGACGCGTCGAACTAACACAATTCGATTTCGAGGCGGTTGCTTAGCGAGCAACGTTCACGTTAAAACCGGAGAAAGGTTGTACCGAGATGCATACGAAATAGGTGTCGTCGACCGTGGAACGAGGTGTAAAGTGTGCGGCTGAAAACGCGCAATCCCACGCACGAGCGCATTTCCCGCAAGGGCGAATCGCCGGTTGAAACTCAACGGTTCAGGTGTCGTCGCGTCTCCTCTTATAGCAGAAACGCGATGCAGGGCACAACCAGCTGAACGCTTTTCGCGGATCAACGAGCCGAGAGCGAATTATCCGCCGCCGTGGAAGTTATCGAGGAAATATTGGAAAGTTCGTGGCGTCGAGTGGCTTTTACCTGTTTCCGGTACAGCGACTCGCGCGCGGCAACCTCGGTCGACGTCGTTTTCCGGCTAATGGGAACTACAAATGAAATCGGGAACGAGAATACGCACGGTGAAAAGGGGGGAAAAATACGAGAAAAAGGAGATCGAGAGCGTGAGAATGGAACAACCGATCGAGTATCGTCGCAAAACGAATTTCTTCGGTTTTACCGCCATCGATTCAACTCTGATTTTAATAGGTCGTTGAACCGATCTCGCGATCAGACGCGCCCAAGCTATCGGCTTTTCGTTTAACCAATTTTATCCTAGCCAGACCTCTTGTTAATTGTGCACCCGAGTGTATTACTTCAAAGTGGTACAACATTCGATACAGCTCACACTGGAATATATAGGCAAACTTTGTTAAAAATCAACTTGTACTTCCATTGTTAATTAACCACTCATAACGTGCACTTTGATTGAGAAGCTGATGTTACAATATGAAGCATTGATCGCAAGAATTGATTTTACAAAATGAAAAGATACTGCAAATTGTATTTTGTATATCACATTGCAAACTTCAATACAGTTCACACTGGAATATATAGGCAAACTTTGTTAAAAATCAACTTGTACTTCCATTGTTAATTAACCATTTATAACATGCACTTCGGTGGAGAAGCTGATGTTACAATATGAAGCATTGATCGCAAGAATTGATTTTATAAAATGAAGAGATACTGCAAATTGTATTTTGTATATCACATTGCAAATCTATGAATGTCCTGTTATGGACATCTTCAGAATCTTGGTTTCTGAGACAATTTAGACTTCAACCTTTTTCAGAGTCATTTCAAATCTCAACTAGGACGTTGAAGACCTAGGACGATCCCCAGGTTCTTGATTATCCATCTTCAAATTTCTCGAATCCAACACTCTGTCATTCCCAAATCTTCAGATGCAAACACCACTATATTGTGTCCAGGCTTCCTCAAATCTCCAAATTAAAATTACCCAAATTTCTACGACCCGAAAGTCGAAATCCAAATACGAGTTCCACCACATGCAAGCACCCATAAACTCCGCAATCCAAGTTGCATTTCCAAACGCATAAAAATCTCCAGGAACGTCCTCCCGCGAATTTATTAAAATTCAACAGCCAAGAAATAAAAGTTTGCTCATCAAAGATGCGCGTAACATCGGTTCCCGGCTTACGAGCGTTTCGTCGCCGTTTCGCGATAACACAGTAAAAAAAAGTATGGAAGATTCGTAGAACAAGATGGCATCGGAATATATATGAATTCGAGACTCAATAAAATATTATAACGAGGTCCTTGTTAAGCGGATGCAGCATGGGGTGCCGAGTCACAGGACTGGACCCTAGTTTGTTTAGACACCGAGTAATCGACAGTCGCTTCTCTTCGTCTTGTTTTCCTACGGGTTGCCTCGTCCTGTTGGTTTTTTTTTTTCTCTCTTTCGTTGCCTTCTCATTTTAGTCCGATGGCCATGTTGCGCTGTACGCCGAATGAACCTTCCTTAGATAGAGCCCTTGATACCGATTTCGGTGGCCCTCTTGGGTCGCTCTTCATATAGACCTCCGTTTTTTCCTTAGATACTCGTGCTTCCTGGAACATCGACGTTTCCAGTTTCGGTATTTACTGGCTTTTTCGTCCTCTTCCTGGCAGAATCGTGCTCCCACAAAAAGTTGATCCCAAAAGAAGTTTAATTTGTTACCTTGTTTCGTGTCTGTAATCATTAGCGAGGTTCGATCGGTGATTAATTGTTGCCTTTGCGTACAGAATTTTTGATGTTTTTGTGCTTCTATAAATAGTGTTGATTGCGTAATAAATTTGGGGAGGTTGAATTGATTAGTTGCAGGTTAGAAAATGAACATGGGAGGTAGAAATTATTTTTATTCGATTATTTGGGAATGTACGATGCAAGTTTGTCAATTCATGTTTCATGTTGAAATTTCTTAATTTTCTCAATTTTATCAATGTTCTCAGTTTTTTCAATTTTCTTAATTTTCTTGATCTTCTCAATTTTCTTAACCTCCTTAAATTTCTTACATTTTTTACATTTCTTAAATTTCATGAATTTTTAAATTTCTCAAATTTCTGTTCCTAAACGTACGCTTCAAATTTCCCCTAAACTGTGTACGCTGATAACATTGTGTATCTGATAATTTATCCAACCGTCCAAACCCTATCAAATCGTCAACTTCTCCTCCACAATAAAGTGTACCACTACTGAAGCGCCCTGTACACTCCTATATTTATCCCACCTTCATTTTGTTCACTTCAGCGTTAAATGTTTCCCCGCGTCAAAACTCGTTTTGAAGATCCAACACGCTTCTAAAATTTTCGAGTTTATCTTAAAGCATTACAGTCGTACGAGCCTGCTACCACTTCGGTATCATGTAGCATCTACTTTGGATAAGATAACTTTGAATTCCACCGGTGCCACGTTACATTCCTATTTCTCTGATTTCTTGCTCGGAGCGGACGAGTAAATTACATACCTCGATCGTTCCAGATATCAACAGTTACTTTTGCCTTCGAAAAAGACACGTTAATTGATAGAATTTTTATTCGCGACATCGTTAATACGTAATTTATCGTGATATGAAAAGGTTATCCTGGTCTGTATTTTCCATTTTGTTAACTGTCGGATAATAAGACTTCTGGCAACGATAAATACTGCAACAACGCAGATACAACGTATCTTGGCTTCTCCGTAATTAATGTATTACCCTCATAATTAATTGCGGTTGTGCAACAGCTGCGTAGCTGGTTAGCTGTGATTTTGCTTTGCAATATTTCAGTGCACGGTTGGACATTGTACCAATAAATTTGCATCCGAGTGTACGTGATTATCTTATTACTGCGTTATTCTCGTTTTGTTATTGATGGT